CATATACATTTACATATACATATACATAGATAGACATATATTTTTAAACATTGACATGTACATAGACAATAGACATAGATATAGGCATAGATATAGCTATGGATGTTGATATAGATACAGCTATAGATTATAGATATAGCTATAGATTATAGCTATAGATTATAGATATAGTTATAGATACAGATAAAGATGATGAAATTGCTGGAATCATGGTCATACCAAAATTTGGTCAAATATATATATTTAAGTTTTCATCTATTTTTGCGATCATGATCCGTGGGAGGTCCCCGGTGCGGACTTCAAATCCGTAGACCATTAGCGTGGTAGTAGTTCGATTCTACCTTGAACGCGATTTTTTTTATTGGATATATATAAATGACAAAGTAATTATATTTTCATGAATTTTCTAGAGACGCACCTTTTCGGTGTCTGTTTATGTTCTTTTCGCTAGCAGCCTCGCTATTGAAGGTATGCGAATTTGGCATACAGCATCGCTAACACTTTCGGTGTATACACACAATCTAACAAGCGACAGTTATAACACTTGTTTCATCACGAATGCTCGGTGTTGTCTGTCTTAGCTATCATATTAAATATTATTTGCTTTTTATTCTGGCGGATCATAGACAAAATTCAACATTTGAAAATGGTTCTGTCTGTCAATATTGAATATATACGTTAACGTGTAACCTCTGAAGAAACATCCTTACCGTATCCAATATTCGTAGTAACCTTTGAAACGTCGTCACCATGATACATCGTTCGTAGCGGTCTCGTGAATTTATATTGTCGCTATCGAACTTTTATGTCTAGTCTTTTGTCCTCACTTTGTCCATAATTAGCCCTTAAAGCTTAATATATTCCATCATTTATCCATACTTCGTCTCACTGAAGTCCACATCAAGGTAATTTAAATGCTAAGAATCGAGTCACCAGACATTCCACAAAACACCTCCCGGCTAAAATGAGGATAGCTGACTCATATAGAATTCGCACACATATGAGTAAACCACTGGCAGAATCGGACTTATATGTGCAATCCGATTCGCTTATAACCGTCTACACGTATACACACTTCTCCTATTTTATGACAAGGTCAGTCAAAGTACCACAAAAATTCAGCGTTCTCCTGGTACTAGTATCCAAACATACACCTTGCACGATGTGACTTGCAGATATACACTTTCGCTCGAAAAACCCAGACAATTGTCCTACTTCAGGGGCGCAATAGTATTGGCAAGAGCATGTACGATCCAAGACCAACAGAGTATGAAACTAGATATTGTACAACTAGTCAACATAACCGTGTCCGTCAACTACAAACTGCATTATCGATATTCTTTATTGAAAATTTTAGCCTCGCTCAGCATCCGTTACCACGTAGAATTTGTGCGCGACAATTGTATTCGTGATTTAGCTGTGCGATAGTATTCTATAGTAATTCATAACCAACGTTCACCGGTCTCATTTCATATCTTCGTACATTTTCATGATTTCTTCTGAAAAATAGTCGCGCAATTGTGGGCGCTTGGTCTTGAATGTGGGTGTAAGCAAACCATTTTCGACACTGAAGGGTTCCGGCGTTACAAATACATCTTTCGCCTGCTCAAATCCTTTGAGTCCATTTTCTTTGCCAAGTTCGGATAATGTTTTTTTGCACATATTTCTTGACTTCAGCACTTCGGATAAGGTCACCGTAGTCGCCTGAAGTGTCGATGCCGGCCTTTTGCAGAACGGGCTGAAAGTGCGTCAAGTACAGAGTTGTATCAGTAAATATAACACATACCAGCAGAGGTAAGAAAAAATAAATCCCATATGTATCGCAACAAGTGTCATGGGAGTAAATGAAAGAAACGTGCCTAGTTTGGAAGACTTATATAATCTATGTCTATAAATAGGTAATACAACACATACCAAAATGTCTTCCTTCTCTGGGACTACCACTGCCACGCAGCATGACTCAGACGATGTACCGTGCACATACACCTGGCCGATACCCGCAGCACGAGTGTAAATCTCCTCAACCTTCTCAGGTGCGATGTACTCGCCTTGAGACAACTTGAAGATATTCTTCCGGCGGTCGAAGATCTTGAGCGAGCCATTCTCAGTCCACATACCGATGTCTCCAGTCAACAACCAACCATCGTCAGTTTTAGCCTCCTTGGTTTTCTCTTCGTCCTCGTAATATCCCAGAAAGATGTTTGCGCCACGAAGGCAAACCTCGCCCTTACCGTCCTTCGCGTAGTAGTTCATCTCAGGTACATCGATCAACTTGATCTCATTGCACGGCAAAGGAGGTCCCACATGGCCGAGATCGTGATCTCCAGGAATGGTTACACTGGTGGCAGCGGCACACTCGGTCTGAGATTAGCATATGTCACCATCATGCATTCGTTCGAGTCATATCGCAACATACAATACCGAATATGAAAAACCAACTTAGTCACATACCAGAACGAAGGGCATGATGGCGTACAAAATCCTTAACTTGAAGCAAGATTGAGTGCGACAAGAAACTAATATAAACAAATAAACTAATATAATATACCTGTCCATAGCCTTCGACAACGTGACATCCCATGGTTGCCCTCAAAAACTCCATGACAGAAGGAGACAGAGGCGCTGCTCCACTGACAATTCCTCGCACCTTACCGCCCAGTGCAGCCTGAACCTTACCAAAGGCTATCTTGTCCCAAATGGTGTCGTTGGCAACGATTCCCTTGGCGAGCATGCGTTTCTTCTGCCACATGGCAATCTTGAAGACCAAGCCTGTCACAAAGCCCGCATTATTAACCTGCGCGTGAAAACGACAGACATATCAGAGAAAGCGCAACCACTCCCACCCCCCAAAAAAACCCCCCAAACATATTTTACTAACCGTCATGCAGGAAGTATGTTGAGTATTTGACGGTCAGTGTGATTGGTTGAGATAAATTTAGATCAACAATATATAGCAGGATACGTGCAAGCAGCGTTATTGACACGAGCTTGAGACCGCAACATGCATTGTACATATTAAACCCATTCAACATTGCACAATTCACGGCTTGTACTAAAGAAATATGAAAGGTTCGTCTCAAACTGGCTGTCGAGAGCAGAAGCGATGCTACACACCTTCTCCTGAATTTTGTCGGACACACGGTTGAGCAGTCGGGGAACGCTAATAAACAATGAAGGCTTCAACATCGCAATGTCCTCCAGAATCACACGCGTATCTCCTCTGTAAAATCCGACTTTCGCCCCAGCGTTCCATACGATACTCTGTATCAAACGCTCGAAGCTATGCGCTAATGGCAAATACGAGATGTGGGTGTCCTCGTTATCGAAGGATACGACCTCATTGATGATCTTCATAGCGCCAGCCATGTCAGCAATCATATTCCTGTGACGGCACAACATCTCGATAGTAAGCCATGTGTATATACTACATAGCATATAACTATAGCCAAGTTCAGAACGAGGTAGTTTCCATCAGTGTGATAGATGCGGTTAACGAAGTCTGCAGATATTAACTCACACAGCGGGCTATGGATCAAGTCCTGACAGAGCTATTAGGTCGCTCATCCATGTGTATTGTACCGGTTGGCGCTTGCGTTAGTGCCCAAATAGCAAGGCATACACACGACTAAGACAACTTCTCATTACCCGACAATTCATCCAAGCTCATAATTCTGTGTGGACGTACATCGATCACGAAAACGGGAACACACATCTATCACTACCAAAAACACCAACAGTTTCTGTTCTGTGATATTGTCAACACGCCCGACATGACCTGACACCACGATAGTGATAGTAGAATCATAACCACAACTATACACATTACTACTACAAAAGCACACTTACTCATGGGACAGCATGACACCCTTGGGGTTGCCTGTAGTGCCGCTGGTGTACTGGATAGTAGCTAGATCGCCCACCTCTGGGGGGATGTGTTCCCGTGGGTATTCATTACCCATCTCTTCCACCTCGAGCACGCTGTATAGCTTGATACCATCAGCATCAGCTTTCGAACGTTCCTTTTCCGTGGGTTCGCCGACCTGTGTCATGATTTGGAGTATGAGTACGAGATACCCCAACTACTCCAGCATTAAAACATCAAATGAATATCATGCTGAATACTGTTCACATGGTATATTGATGCTTATGTTTTTTATGCTATATATATATACATACATACACATATATATAAAATATAATAAACACACACACACACACACATATATATATACACACGCGCACACACACACATATATATCTATATATTTATCTATATTCATACACCACATAGATACACAAACAGATACATACATGCATATACATAAAAACTCACAGAGATAGACACAGAAACAGAAATACACAAAGACACACCCACATATATATATGCATATATATATATATATATATGCTTACATAAACACACACACACACACACACATAATATAATAATATAATAATATATATATGTTCTTTGCGTACTTATAAATGATACAGTTAGTAAGTATTCATATGCATATATTTGCAAATTGGGTTATCTGCAACTGGACGGACGTGATGCCTAATCACAAGATATCATGGTAGCCTACAGTGTACATGCACATAGATGACAGTTGACATCATACAAAGCAATTAAAAAAACAAAAGACATGATCTGAAGCATGAAGATATATATATATATATATAAATGTGACGATAAATATAGGTATCCTTAGGTACGAGCCCAAAAATATTCGTATGTACGTATTCAAGAAAGCTGTGGTAGAGCTATGAAGAGTTATACACTCGTGTCCAGGTTTTGAGACGATATGTTCATACATGCACACGTGAGGCAGATGTGTGTTTGTATCAAGCATAGTTGACACTTTCTTGTGATATAATCGAATGGATGCATACAATCCCTCGAGTTTGCTATTAAACAATGCATCGCAAATACAGATAAAAATCGATTGCTCCCAATACAGCGCGATCCAGTGATTCTACCCACACGTTCTGCCTCAATAATATTTTCAGTGGTGATCTTTCATGTGCATGGGACAGCTTATTCTTATCGGTATCGGTATCGGTACTGAGGCACAACTGTCAACACTCACCTTAATGACGATTTCGATACCCACAGATTTAGCACTTTCTAAGAGATCGTGTATAGCGTCAGCGTCTCCGATTACAGTGGTCAGCTTGACTTGCCCTACAATGAAAGTCATAGCTTCCGGGCCAAGGGTATCATATAGAGGAACCAAGACCAAGTTAAAAGCATTGCAGGCCTATGGTGACGAAAAGAAAAACAGTAGATTGACTCTATATAAGAGGATATGGACGATTAAACCTCCATAAACGGATATAAACAATGCGTTCTATACTTGCAGAGTTTTCTCAACGCAACACGGAGTCAGTTAACCCAGAATTGCGGACGTTGGGAATAGATACATAATCGTGGTATTGAATATAAAATCGTAGTATGAATTTCAATGCAACATACCATACCGCATATAAATACATGAATTCACACAGTACTTTCAACCCTGCAGGTTCGCAACCGACTTTCAAGCAGTTTATAATAGAGTGCCCAAATCTACAGCTAAATTCGCAGGATTAATTACTATAGCTCTTTCTTGCTCTAGCCATGTTATCAAACTTAAGTCTGCCTGGCCTCCTGTATCTAAATATACAATGGCATACATATGACAATACGCGAACAGTAAAAACATGACTCAAACATACCTGCTCAGCAATCACCCACTCCGGAATATTCTTGGCCATAATGCCGACTTTGCTCTTGACCTTGTTGCCAAGATGCATGAGACCGCTTCCAAAGTTCTGAAGACGGTCGCATACTTCACCGTACGATTCCCACACGTACCCCTGTTATACAAAAACCATGACCGAGATTAGAGTATAGAAAAACAACCTTGTGATATATCAACGACGGCAGTAACAGGTTTGCAGCTGAACTTTCAATTACCTTCTTAGATTCATCGTAGTGTCCAAGGCAGTCCGCTTTTGGATCAAGGGCGATAGCACGACTGAAATTCTCGTAAAGCGTGGTCACTCCGGATTCTGGCAAAGATATCAGACCGTCACCCACCCTGAAGAAAAATAGGTGAAGAAGTCCGCGAGTTAGCTTAGCAGTTGATACAGGTACTAAAAAATGGGTGACAACTAGTAAAAACAAGGAAAGAGAAAGGTGTGACCTTTTACTACACACACACACACACACACACATATATATAAATATATATAAATACATAAATACATAAATACACACACACTCATATATATATATGTGCGTATATATGAATATATATATATATATATACCTACATATATACATATAAAACACACACACACAAAAACACAAAAATATACACACATACGCACACACGCACAAACAAAAATGAACACGCACATACGCACAAACATATAAATATATATTTACATACATATATACAAAGAAACAAACATATATACAAAGAAACAAAGACAATCATATTTATACACGTATA